TAGCATCTGACAATGTCGCCCAAAACTTCGGGCAATACGCCGTTTTGCCAAACGTTCCCTTGATCGACCTGCCGGGATTTCCAAGCTGAGGAACCTGCGGGTGAAGGAACCTGCTGTGCCGGGAATTAAAAGGAAAGGCTCCTCCTTCAACCTCAGCCAAAGCCGGTCTCGCTTGTCGACCTTGTCGTTGGAATATGCATCCGTCATAGCCGCGTAGATCTTGGCAGCGTTTATGACAAAGACATTCATCTACCCATGGTGTTCAGCAAGTTTACTCATGGCAAGAAACAAGAATGAGAGGCTAAGAGTTGCTTCCTCGCACCCGCGTCCAGTGCCTGCCCTCAACTTATTAAGCCCTCAACCTTGCCTTGAGCAGGTTCCACTTAGATCCGAATGTCGGCGTTGCCGCCCATTCCCCGTGCGTGATGAACTCGACGTTGCCGGGCGAGTAGAACGATTCGAACAGCTTCCCCATTCCCTGGTCCAGCTCCAACCAGAGCCCTCTGTTGCCTCCAAGATTTGCTTGCTCCCTCTTAGGCTCCGGGGAGTCCTCCTGCTGCTCGCCGCTGGTACTCAGCTCAAAGTGTCTGGGTTCTCCTCGACCTCGATGCTAAGCAGTTTGAGTTTCACTCTTCTCGCTAACTCCAACAAGGCTCGCTTAACTCTCGTGGTCGACATGATACCTCCTCCGCACAGCGCTTACATCTCCTTCCTCGAGAAGCAGCCTGAGCTCAGGCTTGACCTCGACTTGATCAGCACTCTGAAACTACCGCGTGGAAGTACTTTCCTCGTCTTGAAAAGCTTTTCTCTTGGCACGAACGTGTCGGCTGCATGCTCGACTGTAAAAGTCTGACGAGGGTCAGGAGCAGCCCTTCCATCGCTGAACGAGACCATCGTCTGCTCGCAGCTGGCTGGTGATGGGCAAGTCAGAACCCACTCCAGCTCCCTCTGCTGCAGGACTCCCTAGGACCCTGGACGAGCATGCCAAGGAGCGGCTGTACCTCTGCGGCGACGAGAGATTGCGAGACCAGTTGAAACACCTCTGCGATCTGAGCCGTGTTCTCTTGACCGAATTGCTGCACATATCCGAATTGGTTTTACAAAGCAATCGTGGGAACCTATGTATCATTCAAATACCCCTACACCTCCAAGTACCGTAGCGCCTCTACATGCCCTCCCTCCTTCGCCAAGTGCGCGCATGTCCTCCCGTCCTTGGCCAGTTTCGCCAGCAGCTCCCGGCCCCCTACCTCCCCCAGGTACTTCAGCGCCTCTACATGTCCTTTCTGACTTGCCCAGTGCGCGCATGTCCAGCCTTCATTGTCCTGCTGGGCCAGCAGCTCGCGGCCCCCTACCTCCCTCAGGTACTTCAGCGCCTCTACATGCCCTCCCTCGCCCGCCTCGTGCGCGCATGTCCTTCCGCGCTTGTCCTGCTGGGCGAGCAGCTCGCGGCCCCCTACCTCCCCCAGGTACTTCAGCGCCTCTACATGCCCCTCTTGACTTGCCCAGTGCGCGCATGTCCAGCCATCGTTATCCGGCTGGGCCAGCAGCTCGCGGCCCCCTACCTCCCCGAGGTACTTCAGCGCCTCTACATGCCCTCCCTCGCCCGCCTCGTGCGCGCATGTGAAGCCGTCCACGTCCGGCTGGGCCAGCAGCTCGCGGCCCCCTACCTTTCCCAGGTACTTCAGCGCCTCTACATGCCCTTGCTTGCTCGCCAAGTGCGCGCATGTCCTTCCTTGATTGTCCGGCTGGGCCAGCAGCTCGCGGCCCCCTACCTCCCCCAGGTACTTCAGCGCCTCTACATGCCCTCCCTCGCCCGCCTCGTGCGCGCATGTGCAGCCTTCGTTGTCCGGCTGGGCCAGCAGCTCGCGGCCCCCTACCTTTCCCAGGTACTTCAGCGCCTCTACATGCCCTCGCTCGCCCGCCTCGTGCGCGCATGTCCTTCCTTGATTGTCCGGCTGGGCCAGCAGCTCGCGGCCCCCTACCTCCCCCAGGTACTTCAGCGCCTCTACATGCCCTCCCTCGCCCGCCTCGTGCGCGCATGTGAAGCCGTCCATGTCCGGCTGAGCGAGCAGCTCGCGGCCCCCTACCTTTCCCAGGTACTTCAGCGCCTCTACATGCCCTCCTGCGCAAGCCAAGTGCGCGCATGTCCTTCCTTGATTGTCCGGCTGGGCCAGCAGCTCGCGGCCCCCTACCTCCCCCAGGTACTTCAGCGCCTCTACATGCCCTCCCTCGCCCGCCTCGTGCAAGCATGTCCTTCCTCGATTGTCCGGCTGGGCCAGCAGCTCGCGGCCCCCTACCTTTCCCAGGTACTTCAGCGCCTCTACATGCCCTCCTGCGCTCGCTAAATTGGTACAATGTCTTCCTTGTGGACCTGGTTGTGCCAGCAGCTCGCGGCCCCCTACCTTTCCCAGGTACTTCAGCGCCTCTACATGCCCTCCCTCGCTGAGTAAATGTGCACATGTCCAGCCCTGATTGTCCGGCTGGGCCAGCAGCTCGCGGCCCCCTACTTCCCCCAGGTACTTCAGCGCCTCTACATGCCCTGCACCGCAAGACAAGTGCGCGCATGTCCTTCCATCAATGTCCGGCTGGGCCAGCAGCTCGCGGCCCCCTACCTCCCCGAGGTACTTCAGCGCCTCTACATGCCCTCCTGCGCTTGCCAAATAACAACATGTCCAGCCTTCATGGTCCGGTAGCGCCAGCAGCTCGCGGCCCCCTACCTCCCCCAGGTACTTCAGCGCCTCTACATGCCCTCTCTCACTTGCCCAGTGCGCGCATGTCCTTCCTTGATTGTCCGGCTGGGCCAGCAGCTCGCGGCCCCCTACTTCCCCCAGGTACTTCAGCGCCTCTACATGCCCTCCCTCGCCCGCCAAGTGCGCGCATGTGAAGCCGTCCATGTCCGGCTGGGCCAGCAGCTCGCGGCCCCCTACCTCCCCCAGGTACTTCAGCGCCTCTACATGCCCTTGCTTGATCGCCTCGTGCGCGCATGTGAAGCCGTCCATGTCCGGCTGGGCCAGCAGCTCGCGGCCCCCTACCTCCCCCAGGTACTTCAGCGCCTCTACATGCCCTCCTGCGCAAGCCAAGTGCGCGCATGTCCTTCCGTCTTTGTTTCTTGTCGACACATTGGCTCCATGCTTGACAAGCATTTGCATGCAAAGTTTGTATCCTTGTCTGGCTGCCACGTGCAATGGCGTGTCTCCGTTGCTCAAGGTCTCCGTCACTTTCCCTCCTGCCCGGCAGATCATCGGTATCAGGTCTGCCTGCCCCTGCCGCACTGCCGTGAAGATCGGAGACTCCAGCTCCGAGTCTTGTTCACCTCCCCAGATCCCTTGCATTTTGCAGAACTGCTCCGCCAGCCTCTGCCCGTCTTGATCGCCCGTATCGCTCAGTGCTCTGCGATGCAAGTCTGATATCTTCGTCATGTAGAGATCTTTCATCTTTTGTGCTGCAAGTGCCTCACATTGAAAGTCTCCAGTACCGTCAAGCCAGAAGTTGATCTTGTTCATCGCCATCTCCTTCAGTCTCGTCGCTTCTCCCATGGCCTGTACGTAGTTTTCATCGACGTTGTACCAAGCTTCGCCCCGCTTCTTGTATCTCCTCACGATTTCTTTGATTTCTTCCACAATCGACGCACGCAGGTCGTGATGATTGTTCATTATCACATCCAAGGGTGTATCTGCCATCCGATCTTTGACTCGCTGCGACTGCATCATGTCCTCCAGGTCTCGCCCGATCTCTTCCTCCACGTTCTTCAGCAGCGCCATGAACAGCTGCTTCCGCTTCCCCAGAGTCTCCTCTATCGTCGAGCACGTCAAGTTCGCGTTGATCTTCAGCGGCACCACCCGCACCAGCATCCCGTCTGTCTCTTCCACCCGCGGCTGCTTCATCACCTCCAGGTACGACAGCGGCGGATACAAGATCTCCTTCTCCTCGGGGTACTGCGACAGCAGCTCCAAGTCCGCTCCCCGGTCGATGGCCCCGCAGCTGATCTCGAACACCGTCGGCAGCGAGCCTTCCTTGGCGTACTGCAGCGCCACCTGCCTCTCCGTCGACGTGCTAAGCATCCCGTACTCCACCCCCCCTGACACCCCTCGCGCGTCCTCCTCCACGAACCTCGCCGGCATCCGCACGCCCTTGAGCCCCCGGTACACAACCCGCGACGAGGGCAGCCTCGTGGTCTTGGACAGCTTGATCACCCCGCTCACCACGCAGTGCAGGGTCGTGACGTACTTGTTGACCTTGTGCGACTCCGGAAGTCGAAGTACCGCGTTGTACTTGTAGTACATGGGGCCTGTCAACCGCGTCTGTCAGCTCTCGTCGCACCTCTACGCGTCTACACGTCTCTCATCCTCTACCTGTGTAGAGCAGCAGCGCGACGACTTCCTCCTCCCGCAGCCCTGCTTGCTGCACTCGCTCCTCCGCCATCAAGCCCTCCACGTCGCGGATGCGTCTGATCCCCTGCGAGAGCTGCCGCCGCATGCTCGGGTCTGTCACGGCCTCCCACTCGCGCTTGGGCGTCGTGACCTCGTTGTGGTTGGGCGGAGTGAACGGCTCCTCCGAGTCCTTCCTGTGGCAGTGCTCGTCCTCTAGCCCCTTCCACAGGTCTATGCTGGGCAGCCCGATGCGCTCGATGAGGCCCCCGTGAAACTCCTCCAGCCTCCCGAAGATAGCTTCCTCTCCTTCCTCGATCGAGAACTTCGCGTTCCCTCCCTCTGACCTCCCTCTTGACCTTCTCGCTGATGCTGCCGATCTTCCTGAAACTGCATCCGATGACGTCACCTGGACGGCTTCGAGCACGTTTGCGATGCGTCTACCGCACGCCTCCTTCGTCTCCCTCGCTAGCAGCCCTGACAAGGGAGACCTCGGGCTGCCCCCGCCGATCTGCTCTGCGACCCTCCGCAGCACGTCAGGCCGGGCGAGCATGTCCTGCTTGTACGCGAGCTCCCACTCCCTCGCGATCGTCCTCATCGACACTACTGCATGTCTCAGCGAGACGCGCGAGGAGGTCGGCCGGCAGGTTGAGACCCAGGCAGAGCTCGCTCACTCGCCCGTGACCTGCCGTCATGTCCGAGTCTTGGGAGCGACTGAGGTACAAGACCTGGAGCGTGTCGCGCATGTCAGGAGGAAGCGTCCACCGACCTGAGTCTGACGATGACGAGTCCTCGCCTTGTTTCGCCTTGCCTGACTCGGGGATTGAAGCTTCTTCAAGCTCATGCAGCTGCTGTAAACCGACCTCAGAGTCCGCCTCAGCCTTGTCTGCTGGTCTGCTCTGAGCTTCTTGCGCGCGTTCGCATTGACTTGGGTTTCTCTCCTTCAGCTCGTCGGGTTGATCTCCCTGGTCTAGCGATAGCTTGACTAGTGCTTGCGCCTCCTCTCCCTCGATTTGTCTTCTTCTCTTCTTCCTCTGCTCGTCATGTAGCCTATCGGCCTCTCCTTCCTCTGGCTTTCGCTTCTCCTTCTCTTGTCTCTTGCTTGCTGTCAGGCCTGGCGTCAGAGTCGCCTGCTGCTTGTCGTGATCATCCCTTTCATGCCCATGCCCATGCCCATGCTCAATCCTTTCATGTGCTGACGTCATCATCACTTGCTCGCTGGCCTCCTCGTCTCGATGCTTCCTCCTCTCGTCTAGACTATCCGACCCCACCTGCCCTCATGCGTCAGACCCTCATACCTCACGGCTACATGTACATCCGGCCCTACCCTAGAAGCCGAAGCCGCAGACGAGCCGCCGGTCGTCAGTCTTCTTGTCTTGTTGCTCTCGCCTGCGCATGGCTTAGACGATCGTAGTCTATCGCCTCTACCTTACCTCCCCCTTCCTTCACAAACGCCTCGAAGCTTCTATACCCTCCAGGCCTCTCGCACTCCTCCAGCCCTCGGAAACCCTCTCTCAGCTCCTCGCTCCAGCCCTCCTCGCACTCCCTCCAGTCTGCCCTGTACCCGTCGCTCCTCACGACCCAGCCTGTGCTGCTTATCCACGTCCTCCAGCCCTCTAGCTCTTGTCTGTCGTTCTCTTGCTTGTTGTGATAGTATTGGAGTAGACAACAGTGCAAGAACACGCTGCTCAGCTTGGTCATCTTCAGCATCATGACGTAGCTTCTGACATGAACGGCTCTGTCCAGCACATAGAAGTAGAATAAGACCTCCTGACCACCTCCAGGCATCATCTCTTCTCGAAGATGCTCTTCGATCTTGTCCATCCCCTCCTCCCATGATACCGACGGGTCCAAGCACCCATCGATCACCTTGCTCCATATCTCCAATGCTTCATCTCGCTCATCGGGGTCTGATATCACTCTGCGCATCTCCTTGCTGATCGTGTAGTCCAGGATCGCAATGAGCAGCTTGTCGTCCGACATGCTGCGACCTGTCTGACTTGCCTTCCATGCATCGAACGACGGCGACGAGATCTTGTTCCGTCCAATGTACTCCAGCACGTCCTTGACCAGCTCGGGGCCTACGAGGTTCTTCTTCACCTTTGTCAGGAAGTTCCCCAGCAGCCTCCGGGTAGAGAACCTCGTGTCTTCGTATCGCAGGAAGTTCATCAGCACGATCGAGCACACCCTCCACCGCGGACTATCCGCTCGCAGCTCTCCAAGGAAATACTTCACCGCCTCCATCGCCCTGTCTCTGAAAGACTCGGCGTCCTCAGGGCTGTAAGCCAGCACGTACGTGTCTGCCTTGGACGTGTCTGTGAGGGGAGGATAGCTCGATACGACATCCTTGGCAGCATGCAGTGCAGCTGTACTGCTCCTGATGTCTCTCAGAGCCTCGCCGTCGCTCACCAGGCAGAAGCCTTCCGGAATGTCACCAACGTTCATCGATACACAAGGTTGAAACTCCTTGCATCGTCTTTCACAGTCTAGTAAGACGCTGTCAAGCGGTCTGTTGCAAGCGAACATCCCTGTCCCTGCATCCAGAAGCGACCGAAACAGCTTCGACTCGTCGCTTGCTGTCTTGCCCTTGCCGCATGTCAGCAGCAGAGTCCAATGCTTGGGCAGCGCCTTTACTTCCGGATCTTGCGGCAGACCTTCTGACACTCCCTCGATCTTTTCCCGACAAGCGTCTATGACCACAAGCACTCTCGGATGATATCCTGATACGTCTTGCTCGAAGTCTCTGAAGATCTTGAAAACATCCTTCATTGACAGCATCTTATCACCCATCTCCCGGAATGATAACTCTCTCACTTTCTTAACGTCCGTCGGTATCAACATCTGATCCTTGCTCCTTGACTCGTAGATGCCATGGCCCGCGTAGAAGAAGATCACCAGCTCCGGACACGCTCCCTCTAGCTCCCTCAGACTACTTCTCAGGCACCCCTTCATCGCGGACAAAGTTGGGTTCGAGCTCAAGACCGAGTGACACTGCGGGAGTGAGCAGAGCTTCTCATGCAGCTCCGTCGCATCCTCCACGGCCCTCGCAAGCGGCTTGAGCTCTCCCTGGTAGTCGTTGAGCCCCATGCACAGCCCGTACACCCGAGGAGGCTCCAGGAAGATCAAGTCTGCCTCGAAGCTCCGCTCCGTCCGACTGTCCTCGAAGCTCTGGGAGCGATACGTCGACTGAGCTGACAGAGCGCTAGCAACACATCGAGTCACTTCCGTACCCTCCTCTCACGCCCTCCTCCTCTGTCTACGCTCTTACCTGTTGCGCCTCGAGAAGCTCTCGTCCGCTCTACCTCCCTCTAGAGCAAGCGCTATCACTCGCTTGACTAGCTCCCGAGCACCCTCGTCGTCACCGCCTCCTCCCTCGCCAAGCAAGACGGCTTGATCCGCCTTGCGTGTCTCTTGTCTCCTGCTGCTGTCAGAGCCTCTCCCTCCTCTCCTCTCTATCGCCTTCATCCTAGCACGAGTCAAGCTCCCGCCTGTCGCCCGGCCCGAGACAGCCTCGTCCTTGCTACGAGCCCCCCAGCTCTCTGAGGTCATGACGTGCAGGCAGAGCTCGTCATCCGGCCGCTCCTCCTCTCTGAAGCACAGGAGCCGCTCCAGGAGCGAGTCTTGGCCCTCCAGGTCGATGATGCTGATGAGGCGGGTGGTCTTTCGTTGCATGCCGGCGTAGAGCTTGTCTAGCAAGCGCTCGGTCTGAGAGACTGGGCTGCTGCTCCATGCCTGGAGGTCTGAGAAGGTCTTGAGGAGAGAGTCAAACCTCTTCTGCACGTATCCCTGCATGGCAGGCTTGATGCTGCTGCTCACTTCGTCTCCTTGCTTCCTACCCGCCATGCTGCCGCGCTCACAGGAAAGGTCCCGGAAATAAACTCCCCGGGCAGCTCCCCGGGGGTGGGAGGTATGTGTGGGGAATGTGTGGGTTGTTAATTGGGAGATTATGGGTTGTGTAGGTAGTG